AGTATTATTTAAAAAAAGGGATAGACCCCGGCCTCGGCCCAGGCCGCGACCCCGAGTTTAACTGACACCCAGTAATTACTTTTGAATTCCAATAACAGTCCAGCGACCCAGGGTGGGTCTGTTTTCTTCCACTGTTTCGTATTATTTGAAACGTGATAATATCTGGATACTATTTTTAGATTTGGTTGGCAATTCAGTAGCCACTGGTAGCAGATCCAGGCCGGGAGGGGCCCGGGAGGCCCGGGCCTCCCGTTATTTTTAGACCAAACTGGGGCCTGAAAGGTCGAAAAAAAAAATTTTAAGACCGCCCCCCATCTAAGGGTCTGGATGACCGCCCCCCCTCCCCCTTATCTGAAGGTCTGGATCCGCCACTGCGATTAGTCCCATTGCAACACTATACTTAGTGACCACCCCTTAACATCACTGACCTGTTGAAGTTGAGCTAGTGGTCTTTTGTGACGATGGTGTCGAAGAATCTGCAAATAAAGTTGGTAAAGGGGAAACCCCAACATATTTCTTTCATCGATATATAAAAAAGGAAATTTTAAATGAAAAGAGAAACAAATACGATTACTTCTATAAGTAAACATATGAGTTACAGTGTTGGTTCTTATATATATGCGGGTGTTTAATGTAGTTGACATTACAACGTCCTTTTTCTTTCGGTCAATTGTATCTTTTGCCTTTGTATGACTCTTGTGTAGCTCTTTGAAATTTACAGATTCATATTGATATTTTATTGGGGAGATAAAAACAAAAAACGCAAGATTCCATGCACTGATTCAAATCGATTTACACTGCTTTGATCAAAACACTCTCAGTTTCAAGAATTCTTTTAACTATAAGGAAAGATGTTATTAGAAGGTGTAATTTCCTTTATTCCTCTTGCACTTTTTACATACAATTCATTTTGACAGCCGGAGAAAGAATTTGGAAATGAAAAGGGAAATTTGTAAAGAGGGAATACGTCAGCACAGAAATGAATTGTAGGCAAATGTCTGTAATCGTGCATCCTTCTGCTAATAAGCTAGCTTGATTCAAGCGTTCACTTAATGCAACTTGCTTGTTTTTAGACTGAACCTCTCAATAATTTCCTTAAAGTGATTTAGGTATGTCCGTAAAATCGTTTCCAATCAAAGATCTACTTGTATCGATTGCATCAGGATGAGTTTCATGAAGCGAGGGAGAGCTAATCCAATTAAAGAAGATTTGTGAATGATAAACATGGGTCTGGCAAACTCTCCAGTGCTTATACACTGTTATTCGCCTCTCAAAACGTAAATCCACGTTTACTGAGTGTCTTTCTGTCCATAATTTTGGTCAAACTCGATATTTTCTCTTTCGTGGTCAGAGTTTATGACGCTTGTTTAAGAGAACAAAATGAGACAAAGAAATGTAAATTGCATTTTTTTTAATAGCTTCAAAACAGCTGCTTCACAAAATGTCACTGAACAAACGAAACGCACACAAGTAGAAGTATAAAGGTGCAGTAAATGTCACAAAGTCAACCCAAGCGGACGCTTGGGCATTTTCTGTTTTACGTCATCCCTAACCATGTCATACTTGGGGGAGTTCGGGGATGAAACGTCATCATTTCCCAACGATTCCATGCCTTCCCTGTTTTTAACAAATCGAGTGTTTTTCTAGTATTCTTACTGCATATTTCCGACTGTAGGTAATATCATCAACATATTTGTAACACCGATTTAATATTAAAAGTAATCTGTTTTACAGTTGTTTCGCTGATAACAGTTCGAAAAAGCTCAACCCCTGAGAGCCCCTGAGTTCGAATAACTTTGACTTGCAGTCAGGCTTGATTACCAGCCGCTGTTTGGGAAATAAACCCCCGAAAAGTCCTTTCTCGGGGAGGAACATTAGAGCAGACCCAGGAGTGGGCGTAAATCGAGCAAACTCGCAGTTATTCCACGGAAATGCATATACTGATGTCGTGCTGACCTGTTTTGCCGACGCGTTTCCTGGTATAGTTCTGTTCGCTGACCCGTAAACATTGCATGCCTTGAAGAAAAACATGAATTCAAGGAACTGTTGGATGCCATCAACGCAGCAAAGGAACGTAAAGCCCCTGTAAGGTGTGGTATACCTGCGGAAATCTGGAAACATACATGGCGGTATGAAACTCGCCTCTTGGATTTTCTCAGGCGTGAGAAATTCTGTTCCAAAGCTTGGTTCAAACAAGAACACACAACAGCCAATTTTCGATGCGCTCAGGGAACTTTTTACTTGACTAGTTCCAGTCCCCTACGCAGGGGTATCAAATGGAGCTTACAAGGAGCTCCAGATCCTCAGCTCTTCTCCTTAGGACTATGGTTGGTCAGCGACGTTCAATGGACACAGTCGTGTTATTGGGTGGATAAGCTTCTAACACAGCGTCTATCTGTCCATCCTGATGCGAAAAAACTACCACCGACCGATTGGAGCATTTTGATCGACAACGAACACAAGTTATCCGTCGCCTCCCTCCATTTCATTTGGGCATTAAGTGTTTCCAGAAACTCTTCTGTCCAGTGCCTCCAGAACAGCTTTACCAGGTAAAGAATCAGTATCCAACGGCTCCTGGGATCAAACGCCAATTCACTGAGGTTCTAGATATACGTCTGATTAATTTCCAACACTCAGTTGGCGCCAAAAGTCTTGTAAGTCTCTTCACTATCTGGGGTTAGGCGTCTGATGAATCTTTGATGCTCGGTTGGCGACAAAAGTCTTGTACATGTCTCCACTGTCTAGGGTTAGGCGTCTGATAAATCTGTTAGTAAAATCCAACTAGTGGTCTATTATCAATGCTGCGTTCTGATTGGTTGAGCTACTACTAGGCTATATGTTATAACCCACTAGTAGCCAAAAGCGCCAGCTTTTTGGAGGCAAAAAAAGGATTTAAGTCTACTAGCTAAAGTTGTTTTGTCTCGATGTTTTTTTACCAACTAGTTGGATTTTACTAAAACAATTATTCCTCTCGCCCACGTGGCGTCTGAGTCAATAGCCCATTCGGCCTTCGGCCTCATGGGCTATTGACTCAGAGCCCATTCGGGCTCGAGGAACAATTGTTAAATATTCCGTTGGCGACAGACGTCTAAGACCTCCTCGACTGACTCTGGATCCAGAAAGAGACGCCCTTACTGTCTGTTCAGAGTGTACAGCTCTCGAAGGAATCTCTAACAACTATTACACCTTTCTTTCTTGCCAAGAGCTCTAACCTGCTTCCCTTCTTCTTCTCAAGCTGCATCTTCATATTTGTGCCCAACGTAAGTTACATCTACATATGCCAACAGTGATGCGTCCCCCATTGTATGGATACATGTGGATGTGTAAACAACAATGTTCTCAGCAATGCAACAGCACCTTGAAAAATGTCCTGTAAAAAATTCTGGTAACTCACTGAATCATCAATAATTTATTCCTGGTGCTTCTACTTTAAGTCGTCCTATTTTAGACCCAGTAACCATGTTCCCTGCATATCCATCCTTCCTCTAGCATCTGTAATGGGCACAAGCATAGAAAATTTCTTTACGAACGTTCGCTTGGTATAGACAACATCCTGCAGGGGATTCAACTTGAAAAAAGTTAAACACATCCGTCTCATCATCTTATTGCTTTCCTTATGCTTTCATGCAAGGTAGTTCTGGCCTGTTACTACACCCAGACCGCATTTTGAAGCCTGCCTTGCCAAGTGGCTCCCTAAGCTATTCTCGAGCTTTAATCGCTTCATCGTTAGTGTTCAATGACGTCATAATGTCATCCACGTACACTTGTAATAGGATTACGGCTATTGCTAGCGGGTGGTCATTTCTGTTATCTTCTGCGGGTTGTCGCTCGACGTACTGGACTAGGTAAAGTGAGGCGCGGTCATCGAACGTCAAGCTCATTGCTTCATAGACTTCTGGAAGTCTAGAGAGGTGTAACCTCCACCCTCAAATTTTCGTCAGATCTGCTACCAAGGCCACAAGATAACTGCGAAAACGCATTAGTGAATTTTACAAAAAAAAAACATCTTGCTCAGCTTTGGTCCAGGCAACATGCTATTTTGGGCTATTCCTCTGTATATGGCTACTGAATCTTAGACTATCCTCACTTTAGTAGTCTCTTTGTCTTCTCTCACTACATGAAAATGAGGTAGGTACCAACTGGATGTAATCCGGAAGTAACCCTTGGATTCATTCTTTCATACCTTGGCTTCTATCACCTGGCAGTATTTCTCAGCAACCTCCAGCCGTGGCTGAAGGTGTTGCTCAAGAGATAAGTCGGTCTTCAGCAGTCTTTCTGTTTGAACACAACGGCGTATCATCGTCCTTCCATGGAATTGCCACTTCACAGCCCCTCAGCATAACGCCTTGATTGTGCCTCTTTGCGCGCAGCAAGCACCTCCTCGGCTGTCAAGCGCTTGTTTTGATCAGCAATTCCCACAACGTCTTCGTCCCACATTCTCTGCATTAGCTCATCATCATTTATGGAGTAAAGGTCGCATGGTATATGTGTAAACATGGCAAGCCTCATGACACTCGTCTACTTCACAGGAGACATTTACAACTATTGTCTATGCGAGTGGTTTTCTTTACTCTTACTGGCTCCCCCAGGTGTCCTTTGCGATATTCAAGTGGTAAAATGAGTTCCTCTTAATAATCACTTCTCAATCAACCTCTACATGTGGAACTGGCTCTATGATCTCCAGGTCGCGATTATGATCTAATTTCTTGCATTGACGAACTGATCAGTTAATTTCATTTCACAAATTTCCACAAAAAATAATTGCTTCTTGTTGCTCCCATTCATACCCTTAAGGCTGGCGGAAAGTTACAGTTTTGCTATCCGTTACATTCGACTACGCTCCAAAAGCAGCAACACAGAGTGCGTACAAACCCAGTATGTCAGCAATCTCCTCTTGAGGAAGGACGACCCAGACCCAGACCCAGATACCATGGTGGGTATAATCTTCAGCGCTACCCTTTCAGGGCGCGGTACACTTAACGGTTCAAGTCTCCAGAACCTCAACAGCTCGTGTGATTAGTTGCTACTCCAAGTGATGACGTCTCTCCTGTGGCTTCTTGCGAGGATTGGAATGTCTCATGCCGACGATGTCCTCTACTGTGGCATCTAAAGCACAAACCCAACTTCTCTTATAATTACCATCCTTTACTTACAGTTGATTCTTCCAGGTTTCATACAATGTCAGTACATGTTTTTCTTAGCTCACAAAACATTACATTACATACTATTGCACAAAAGACTTATATTTTGGATTTTCAGGGGCTAACAAATTTCGCAGCACGCCACATGCATCTGATACGATAAACGCTATAAACGTATAATACAATTCCATTCTTTCGATATAACTTGCAATATCTTCCTTACCGTCCACATACCCTCCAACTCGACCTACAAGCGCCATCCTTGTCGACAAAATTGTAATATTCTGGTCTTAAACAACAACACAAAAAGAACCATTTGCCAGTCATTCTTTTAATGCAACTGCGCATGTGCAAAACCTGCCCTAAAATATAAGAGGTCTGGAACCTAATACTGATTACTCAACCCAGAAGCTGGATTCTGATTCGACTATTGTATCATGTGAAACGATTATGCAGATAAAGGAGGGTGTTACGAGTCGCCGTCCCCTGCATGGGTATTGCGACAGAGTTACTGTCTGACACCTAGTAATAAATAGCCGCACGAGTAGAAATTTCAGCTAGAATTTACACTATAATTATTTCAAAAACAGAAGTAAACTTTACCCTTCAATCGCCCTATCCGTTTAAAAGGAAAGTTCAAGTGCACGTATTTATGGAATTCGCTGTCCACCTGTGTCGGTAGAGTACGACTTTTCCTTCCCTATTACAGACCTGAAGGCGGATGATTTAAAACAAGAGCAAAAACAAAAATATAAAAAAAAACTCATGAACGAACATGTAATTTCAGACCCTGTATCCAAACGTCGCAAAACCTTTCCCTGGTTCAGACCCAAATGGTTTTAAACAATTCGCTTACAAAGGAAGTACCCCTTCACCGAAACAAATGCTCTGTGACGTCATGGTTTGCTGGTTCATTTTGATAATATTGCCAAATATGTCCTTATTCTCAATGGAACTCAGCGTAAGTTAAGAAATCACTTGCAAATGACAAAATCGCTGCTTCATGTCAAACACATTTGTCCCCAAACATTATAGGAAAAGTTAAAGACAAAAAAATGAATTTTGAACGTTTAGGCTATTTGAGTTTCCAAAAACCTCAGTGTTAACTTAGTAAAAGAACTATTCAAGGAATTTTATATTTAATCTAGCAGGCAAAAGTAGGAAAACCGTAAACGCCCAACAGGAACCACAAAAGTGCCCGCTTTGTTCGAGTTTTTATAAGTTTTTCACCGACCGCCGTACTTCAAGGATCAAAGGGTTAACAGTTTACCTGCTACCCGGACCGATTTAATGCTTATTCAAGGACATTTAAGAAAACAGTCGACAGTGAAGTAAGTGAACTGTATGTTACGTTCGTTTTGTTAATTTAGTTTTTTTTTTCTCTCGTTACCTTGTAAACAGACTTAAAGTAGCTTAAATTGACTTTGTTACTTTCAAGAACCACCCGATTTCGCTTGTATCAACGTTTAGCTTTTATCGGCATTTATTCCGCTTTATCTAGTTTCATTTATCAATTATTGTTTTGATTACACTTATTGAATAGAATATATTTGTACAATTTGATTTCAGATCGAATGAAATTAGATCAAATTACTGTTACACAATTGCGAGTTATTCTTCTGAATGGATTCTTCGTTTTCTAATGAAACACTCAGTTGCAATCAGTTTCAACCCTTCAAGCTTGTCCATACATGACTCCTTTTGCATTTTCTGTATAACTGTTTTGAACCGGGGAGGGGGGGGTACTTCCTAATAAGAGGATAATGGGGAAGTGCCGCTGGATGGGGTCCCACTTTCATGACTGGATTACCTATAATGGGGTCGCACATTTTCGGATTTTTTTGGGTAAGACAGTTCTCCATATTTATGGTTAGCAAACGTACCAGAATGTTTGTACTGCAGATGAAAAGTAAAGTGCTCTTAATTCAATCTAAAAAATGGGTCAATTCATAAAAATACAAAGCGACTAATTTGGGATCGCGAAAATTACACATTTGCCCAAAAGTGACTAAGATGGGGTCTATAATTGGCCACAGAATAGACTATAATGGGGTAGGGGCTCTGAGAGGCCAGCAGCATATACCCAGCAAACACTTTTCTAAGTACATCCCCCTCCCCGGGGTTTTGAGCGGTTATTTTCTTGCTTCACTCAATTTGGTGGGGTTTTTCACTTTTTGAATTCAATGATAAATTTCCTGACACAAGACCTTTGGATATCACAGGAGTATCAGTACCTTCTTCTGGAGGATATACTTTCAACTGGATAATTGAAGACCTGGAAAAGCTGGGGTCGTCATTCTCGCAGAGCCACTCACATTTATACTTTCCTTCGTCTGCATCAGTAACGTTAACAATGGTGAGAATGAAATCTTTTTCGCATTTGGTGTTGGTTGTCCTTTCTTGTATATCATACTTTTCACCAGATCTTAATTTCACTGAGCTGTTGTTAAAATACCACTGTAAAGAATTGTCCCAACAGTCGCTTGGCCTAACAGATACTAAGCACTTTAAACTGACATTGAAGTAGGCTGTCACCGAAACCACGGGAGAAGAAATCTGCGGAGCTTTAGAACGTAAACCTGTATCAGATGATAAGAAGACAAAACGAGCAAACATTATTTGATAATCGTTACCATTTTTTTCTGCAACCGTAGGGGGTAACATTCTTACTCTTACCCTCCGCTCCTGTGTATTTGTGACAATATATGGGGCATCACAACGCTTTGGAGTTTTTACGTGTTGATTTTGTTTATCCCACTGGTAGGCCTACTCTGGGACCTAAACTCGCCTTAACTCGCCTTAACTCGCCCTAACTCGCCGCTTGCGATTATGTGCAAATTTCCTTATCTCGCCTTATCTCGCCTTATCTCGCCTTAACTCGCCTAAACTCGCCTACTCTCGCCACTGCGAAGTGGATACCAATTTCAATGGGCGTGATCCATTTAACCAGACTTCAGACTGGTCCGACTGGAAGTGGTCCACCTGAAAGGTGGACCAGTTTTTTCGAAACTTTTCCAGTTGGACCGAACCGATCCATTGAGTTTTGTACCCAAATTTCCGGAAATTTTGGTTGAATGGATCGTGCCCAATACGTCATCCCACTCTCAGGATAATTTCACAATTAATCCACAAAGGGAAGACACCAAAAAAGAGGGATTTCAAAAATTATAAACAATAGGGATTTGTAAGTCCCATCCTTCTGGAATTTCCAATAGCCTCTGTGGTAAGGGTGTTTCACCACTAAGATTTGATGAGGGCTTGCTGAGTACTTAATGGACAGCCAATGGAACTACCAGGAAAACAACCTGAACAGGCACAAACTTGTTACCTAACAAAAAGGCTACAATGCAAAGCATGGCAGAAATTCCAGAGGTATGTCACAGGGCCTAGAGAAACCCACACTGATTGCTATTATTTTGGGCCACAAATTAAGTGACATTAAGTAAAAAATGAAACAATAAATTTACTTATACTTCTAAGAGAGACAAAACAATACAAAACTGTAATAACAGAATATATATATATATATATATATATATATATATATATTTTCTTTTAAGCTAGCTAGCTAATGATTTACAGTAAAGTTTGATGTTGTGGAAAATTTTAAAATTAAGCTACATTACTTTCCAAATGTATAATGTATGCAAGCTGCTTATGATAATGAAAAGCAGCAGCATAATTATCATCTTATAATCTGATGAAACTTAATGAGAATTCTAGCTGACAATGAAAGTCTGGGATGTAGCCAGAATCCTTCAAATACTCCACATACTGATGGCAGTCCACATTTCTTGATTATAAAGTTACCTGGTACTAGAAGATCTGTGTATTGCTTTCACATGACATCCTGTTTGGCTTACATTGTAGTCAAGCTGGCGACCATAAGCCATGAATCATAAAGACTTGTTACATTTAGCCCGTTTTTGCATTGATAGCCAACTCCGTTCGCCATTTTTAAAATTACCCAGAAGATACTGGTAACTCTCCCAGGGCCCAGTCTACTGGCAGGTTTTAGGTGGGAAGCTTCAACGTGGCGTACATGACGTCAAAACACATTACAACACGTCTGAGGCGGTGGCCATGTTCGCAGCAGGGAAGATTCATCACAAATGCGGAGAGTATTTCTGTTCATCAACTTATATGAGATATAGCTCTCGGCACAACTGTGAACACTTTTTCTCCAGCAGGATTGTCCAAGTTTAAGGAGGGAGTTTTTTAAAATACTGGAACTGCTGTCTTCGTGAAAAGGCATCAATCTCCATTTGCAAGAGATTAAAATGGCATGGATTTATTCCGAGGAAACGAAAAGGCAATTGGTGTTTTCGTTTCTGGCAGTGAAACCAAACAGTTGGGCTGGATTCCAAAGGAAACCTTAGTGAAATGGAAAGAATGGGCCAAATGGGAGACTTAAAGATAAGTCTTATAACTTTCAAGGAGAAAGAATTTCATGTCATTTTAGTAAAATTGATTGTGTCATACAAATGTCCACATCTCAGCTTTAATTCGTAAGCTTCTCCGTTTTTTTATACTAGTTCTTTGAAGAACATTGACTCAGAATGTAAAAAACATTATTCTTTTATAATTCTGGAGTTAATGATAACAATTCATGCCATCATGTGATACCTATTATGTTAACCTACAGTCTAATTAAAACATAGTGTTATTGAATTAAAAAAATAAGTAAAATTAAATATCCCATCTGTGTTTGTACTACAATTACATTTTCTCATCTATTCATGATTGTTTTGTGTACATTAGTTTCTTTTTTCACTAATTTATTATTCTGCCTTCTGCCAAATATTTATGCAGCTATAATATATAATATATGATGATGACTACTTTTATTAGTAATAATGGTATTATACAGCCACCAAATCGTATAATTTTGTATCTGAATGCTATATAATAATTAATAAAAACCAGGCCTTGGTTATTCAAAGGCTGGATAGTGCTATCCAACGGATCAATCTCTATCCAGTGGATAGTGCAATTAGTTTTCCAAGTACTTATCCGCTGTATAGTGATTTATCATTTTGTTGAATAGCGCGATCCAATGCTTGAACAACCAGGGCAAGGACTCCATACTCCACTCGCCCAATTAGGAAAAAATGTTCAATTACCGGTACTAACTTTAAATAAGATTTGGCTTCAGTCAACTTTGGAGCTCATCTAAAATTTTTGTAATTGGGCAACATGGAGACTGTTACGTATATATACATAAGACATACAAAGATTGCAAGGCACAAGGCATCTTTATATGTGTGTTACTAAAGCATGATATATGTGTTAACCCTTATCACCTAAACATTAGGTTGACCATTTTCCCTTAACTCGCCTTGACTCGCCTTATCTCGCCTTAACTCGCAACTGATAGGTGAGCTCAATTTTTCCTTTTCTCGCCTTAACTCGCCTAAACTCGCATTAGCTCGCACAATCTCGCGGCGAGTTAAGGTCCCAGAGTAGGCCTCACTGGTTTCCTCCTTTGCGACTTGTTTCGTCACGCCATCTTTAGAGGCGCTCTAACGATCGGTTGATCGGATGAACCCCACTTCTGTTACCTCCCACCAATATGGCCTGTGCTACTAAGGGTTGATTTCAATAACTAAACGGCGTCTCGTTTTCTCTTTTTAACAACCACACAACAGTTTACATTGGAATCTCGATATATAATAACGAACAGGTGAACGAAGACCCAAAGGACTGGCAAAATATCCTCACTATAAAGAGGTTTGTTATATCGAGGTTCCTTTTATTTATTGTACAGTCAAACCCCTCTCCAGTCTGGAAACCCGCTCAATACAGACATCTCATTGTTACGGACAGTTGGCTTTGTCCCTGGGGAAAGAAAGCCCTTTCATTTTCAACCCGATTAATAAGGTCACCCCGTTAATACGGACTCTTTCTTAGTACGGCCCCTTCAGTGTCGGGATTTACGGGGTTTGACTGTATTATTTCTGGGGTGGAGAGTATCGCTTACTATTAAGAATTGAATCATTGGATAATGCAATTCTAGTGCTCTGATTGGCTTAGACATCATGGTATATGACTCATTATTAATCATTCAAAATATTTCCCCGATTCTGACTGGCTAAAAGTACACGCATAATTCGCAATAACCAGCTATTGACCTTTAACCGAGAAGACCTGGGGACAAGGTTGAGTTGTTTTGGTTGTGAAAACAAAATGAAAGACATTTCACTCATTTCAAAAGCAAGAACTAGGCAAAAAAATAGCTAAAAACATGGCAAGAACAGCAAGACGACAACTCGAAGGGCGACATCTGCTATTTGGAGAATATTTGCCGAGCTGAACAACCCTAAACGTGCACTGTCGAGGATGAACTTAACATCGATAGAGGTAAGCATGTTTTAGTCATGTTTTTAAACTAGGAATTATTTTGAATGAATAATAAATAAAACAATTATTGAATTCGGCTTTCGCATCGTATGAAGATCTCGGAGGGTGTTATCCGCCTCGGCCTACGGTCTCGACAGATAACACCCTCCTCGATCTCCATACTCAGCCTCATTCATCAATTGTACCATGCTCTCCAAATATGGTAACTGTATGCGTTGTTTTTACAAATAAAGTCGGGACGAATTCTCGATGTTTGTGGGCGTTTTTAAAAGAACAATTATTCCACTCGCGGCTACCATCTCACATCCAACGCACACTCATGTAATAATTGTTAATTATACCGAGGACTTCGTTATATAGAGGTCCTACTGTATTTCAGGTGAGAACCCTCCCCTCTCATTAATGACTGTCCTGTGCTTGATTCCTCAGGCAACATCACATGTGGCCGGCCTGGTTGAGTTTTGTTGCTTCTCACCCTTATTCCGCCATCGCCGCCAAAACAACACATCACTCCCACGTTAATCCCGCCAGCTGCGCAGGGTAAATTTGACCCAGAATGGTAGACAAAGAACCACTTTGTGGATGAGCTATTTATTTACTTATTTACTTATCCCTTGCGACCCGAGGGGTAAACAAATAAAAATTCCAGGGTCCAATTTGTCTGAATGGAAGAGGAAGGTGGCACGAAATTTTCAGTTATATTCTTTTAAATTCAGAGAGAATGAGCTGTCCCTCTTGGTCTAAATGGGATACTTTCTATTGCTTACAGGGCAAACACGGCATTATCATTATCTAAGGTGGTTTTTGTGGATCGGTGTTTATAAAAAGAAATAAGAAATTTTAAAAATGACTCACAGCGATGATTCAGCTCAATTATCCCTGATTTTTCAGTCGACCAGCCGGTAATGTTGTTCATTCCAGTGCATTGATAAGCCCCTGCTTGTTTTTCTTGGATATTAGCATTGCGGAGAAGGGAAGTTAAGGTATCTTTTCGATCCAGCTGCTCTGAGATGTAAAAACCTTCAGATCCGTTGACGATTTGTTTGTTATCTGGATTGTACCAAACTACACGAGGACGAGGCCATCCCTTGAAGGTACACTTCAATTCCATTTCTCTCGTGTCAGGATGGTAGTCAACGGGAGAACTTGTCTTCGATACTCTCTTAACTGGAACTGAGAAGGAATTCTTCGTCTTAATTTCAAAGCTCGTAAGTCATGCACCCAGTCATTTAAACTAGGAAGCTTAATTAAGTGACCAGCTCGAAAGCCTAGTAAGCTCCTTTGGCCACTGCGCACATTTCACCTTTAATTCGATCAGGATTATGTAATTTGCTGTTTTTTTTTTTCTTCTTGTTTTTGTAATATATTTGTAATTTTTATAGCAACCTCTTGAATTAGTGCAAAAAAATATCAAAATCTGAAATGTGAAAATCTTAACCACCACGACGACAACGTCAAAAAACAATTAGTTTTAACATGAAAACAACAGTTGCTGCACGTGCATCAATGACATATACAATAATAATAATAAGCTTCTTAGTACATTGCTTTGACGTTCACCCCACGACTATGAAGTGAAACCTCCTAATGCGACGTTTTATAGAGAAAGTGAACATACGACGACGAATTCTCCTTTTCCTTTCTGAACCTGGATAAAGTCCTTAGGAATTCAACTCCGAGAGAAATCGCCTACATTTGACAAATTAAGCAGCTCCAAATAGACGCGATAACATTTGAAATGAGGCAAATTTAATTTTTTAGCGACATTTTCACTGCCGTCGTCATCGTCGTTGCTTAGCTCACGATTTTTAAGATACCTACAGTCAAACGGACCAACCATGTTTTACTCCATGCCTTGTTCATGTTGAATAGGCCCTTTGCAGTTAGTCATTTTTTTGGCACAAACCTGCCATGCTGGAGAGCGAGGCCCTGCGCACTGAGTCAAGCCAAACAAAAAGCTAACATCATTTGAAATGATTCCTTTGTTTATTGTTTGTCATGTCCCTTTGCTTTTCTTGCCCTCAAGCATGGCATGAGCAACTAGAGTTTCGCGGTGAACCATGTTTAAGTGAGGTGATTTAGCTGGCTATAACTTCAACCGTTTTGACGCTCAATTCAACCGTAAAAATCGCCTCAGCTGAGCTTGAATCTGCCCAAACCTGTTACGAGGCCCTCATGGGATTCGTCACGGATTAAATCCATTTAAAAATAAGACAAAAAAAGTAATTCACTATAATTCAAAAGAACATACTTACTGGCATATTTTATTGAAAAACATTCACGTGACAGATTTTTATCCTTTGCATTGTTTTGATGTAAGAATAGACCGTTATTGGCACTGAGGTTTCTTTCAAGGTCCTGCCAGGTCATGTCTTGTACTTTTCCCCCATTCTTAATCGAGCAGTTGAAAGTCACTTTATGGTCTTTTGGTGTTACTGTGCGGGTTTTTGTCTCCAGAGGAGGTTGACATTTCTGTGCACTTATTTCACAGTCTAGGGCCCCTGTGGGTGACACATCTATCACGTAAAAAAGTAAAGAATAAAAATGGAAATTATTCATTTGATCAAACATTCGCAATTTCGGTTTCTGGGAAACTGCCCACCTACCCCTCCCCTAAGCCATCATTTTGCCCTAAGCGAGAAGTGAGTGTTAATGTTAGCTTAGGGGAGGGGTAGGCGGGCAGTTTGCCAGAAACCTAAATCGATCCAAACATTCATTAACTAACACAAACCTGCACACAATCTGTTCGGTCGTCCGAGGGCAACTTGAGTCTTTTCGAAATTATTAGGGCTTCAGTATTACTTTCCCGAAAATTTTACTTGCAATTTAACGCTTTGCGAAAGTGAGAATTTTTCTAATGCCTCTGTCCAACGCATTTTTGAATCCGAGAATTTTACGTTTTCTTTTTACTACGAAAAATAGAGAAACTTGGGTAGTCAAATGTGAAGAATTAAACTTCAAAAAATCGTGGGAATTTATTAGGTAAGCTTCGAATAAATGGAACAGTCACCTAGAAATTTGTAGCCGTCCTCAAATAATAGAAAATTTCAGGCAATGTTTGCTTTTCCGAACAGATTACATTATTCTTTTATAGTGTTCAGTACTCGATGGAAAGAAAGTCGACTAAACGGCGTTTAAACCGGCCGTAGGACACAGAGTGGCTATGAACTAAAGGTAAGGGGCGGGTGTGAATGGGGTTAACCGACTAGCGACAAAGGGCGAAAAATATTACTGACTACCGACAAAACGAGTAAAAAATTACCGACTACCGACAGGAAAAATATCAACCGACTACCGACTTAGGCTAACATTATCAATATTTGTTTGCAGAAAAAAAGGGCATTTTGCATTTTTTTTTCCTAGCCGTTAGGAAGTAACCTCTTTAAATTTATGACTCATTAGATGGTCTAACAGAAAGAACTTCCTTTTTTGTTGATACTGGTACATTACTACAACTAATGTCATAATCACAGAAACCACACCTTAAAGATGCTACCGACTTTATAAATTTTAACAGTGCTCACATGGTGGGTGGCTCCTCCTAAAATGTTCTGCAATTGGTGTAGGATTTAATGGAGCCGAAACCAATTGTGGAATTGCACGCATTTTAGGCATCCTGGTGATGAACAGTTGCGACACGTAGATATATATTTTTTAGCAGCTAAGATAATTTGCAGTCTGTCTACTTTGAATTGAAAAGACAAAGGTGAAAAAACTGAGCGTTTCTTGTTTCGATCCGAAAAATGCTTAGAATAATCCTCAAAGAAAATTCTTTCCAGCTTAATGAAAAGCACAATATATAGTAAAAAAAACCACGGTACCGCGATGAGCACATACAGCAGTTTTCTTTCCAACATTTTCATGGCCGCATACATTGAAACACAAAGTTAAGCAAAACGGTCTTTAAACCAACTGTTTGAAAAAGCTATATAGATGATACTTTTTCCCTATGGGACATAGGTAAACCAGACATGGTAGATTTCTTCAAATTCATGGATCAAGTAAACTTACTTCACCCTACCGCTCTACTGGCAATAAAATTAACGGCCGAAATATCTGACACTGAGACAATCTTTTTAGACCAGGTTGTATACCAAGGCACAACATTGAACGAAAAATGAGAAAAAGCTATCATTGACGTAAAGACGCATTTTAAACGGAAACCTTCCAGTATATACATTTTCACCTCTTATCACCCACCAATTGTTAAAATGGATTTGACAAACACGAAGCCTTGAGAATCCTAGGAACAAACTCCTCTGAGGAAGTATTTCAGATTTCAAAAAGCGGTTGATGGACAGAGGCTGGCCACACAATTTTGAAAGAAAAATTTCTATTAGAAGTAAAACTCACAGAAGGAAAGCAGCGCTCCTGAAACAAAACAACAAGGAAGAAAAAGAAATATTGTCTTTCGTGACACAATACAAGCCGTTCAGTGTCTATTATGAAAGAAGCTTTAATGAAAAAGTGTAGTCTCATACAAAACCAAACACTACCTTGCCAAATTAACCCTCGGACGTACACACAAAATCATACCCCCCACCATGGTACAAGAGGAGGGTAGATGGAGCCCCTCCCCAGAGTTTTTGATTTTGCCTTCACTGAAAAGCCTTTGATCTTCTTAACAAGACGAGGTATATTTTATGAATGATGGCACTGCTGGAGGCCTGTTACGTCACCAACAATGGTCGCCATCTTTGCCGCCATCTTGATTTTACCAAGAATTAGAAATCAGGTTAAAACCGCCAGAAATGGTAATTGCTTGACATGAATAATAACACATAAATAAGCACTTTGCATGATTTTGGCTGCAAGATTTTTCTTTTATTGTTGAAAAAAGTTGAAAAAGAGACATACATTCTCACTCAAAATGGCTTGACGACCTGCTACTTATTACGTCATACCTCGTAACCATAGAAACTGATCATCACTGAACTTGACTCAAAATGCGTGCGAGGAATAAACAAACATCTACTGAAAACGTCAGGTGCTGATGTTTTATCCTCTTGGAAAAATCCCAGAAAAACCTAAAAGGGGGGGTTGTTTTCAACCCCCCACCCCTTGTACGTCCGAGGGTTAAAGTGTTATTTCTTTGAGAAAGGAAAATTATGGCAAAGGACATGCTTGTTAGAGCCAAAAAATTAAAGGTATAGATGTGCAGCCTGTCACCCCTTGCAGTTTTTCACTAAGAATTTTTTAAGCCAGTATCCAAAAGGCTGGAGTCCATTAATTAATTAATTGCTTTTTACTGTGCCCTGTAATCGACAGGGAAACCAAGTTCGCATTTACAATAAAAGGTTTGGTGATTTTATCAGTACTCATGATATTCATTTGGCAAACAATGGTGAAATAAACGATCATGTTGCATAAACAAACAAGAGTTAATGAAGTTCAATCAAATGATGCATTCTTACAAGTTTTACTCTTTCCTTAGGGACAAAAGTCTTGAAACTGGGTGAAATACATAAACATGTTTATAATTAACAAGCGTTTTTACTTATCAACTGAGATTTTCCGACAACCGCCGAAGAAGATAGATTAGATTATCAACTGAGATTTTCCGACAACCGTCGAAGAAGATAGATCTTATCACGGTTTTCGACGCCATGTTGACGAGTAGGCAACCGCGTGATAAATTACAGTGTTTGTATGAGAATCTAATGTCGAATAATTTCGGTAAAACGGCTATTCTGAAAAAATATGAACTGTAAACTAAAGCTACACAGCAAAGGATTTTACTATCAAATTTTGGGGGCCGTTACTGTGCTTAAATTTCTCCAGACTCTTGTTTCAGATTTTCCACATATTTGTCTGCAATTTTTTCCCGGGAAACGTTTACAGGCAAATGTATAGAAAATTTTCAAAAGTGGTTCTAACGCATATAGCTGCATGTAACGACCTCTAATTTTTTCGAAAGAATCGTTAGGAGTGAAAATTTAGGTTACAATTCATATTTTTTTCAGAACAGCCGTTTTACGGAAATTTTTGGACATTAGATTCTCATACAAACACTGTAATTTCTCACGCGGTTGCCTACTCGTCAAAACCGTGATAAGGCCTTTTCTAGTCAGTCTTTGAAAATTTTATCGTAGTACACAGACGAAAATCGACTGGCAGAGATTCGAGATGTTTTGCCTAAGAGAAAATGAGTAATTCTTCAACAATATATGATAACAAACATACCTGCACCCGATCATCTTGACAATGCAAGCTTCTTTGCCATTTGCAGTGTTTTTTCAAAAACCAACGAAAGAAAGATAGAAGCGAGTTCGAGCCAGACACAATAATGTCCAGTTTTCAAAAGACTCCAGCGTCACATTAACGAGTGAATACTTACAGTGCTCTTAGTTTCGACCGAACAAAATTTAAATTATGTCTGTAAACCCTGGGGATTGGAATGTTGACTTTGCCTTTCCAAATTTTAACCTAGCTTTGTTTTAATGAGAACGAAGCTGTTGTAGAAACTGAATCGTAACCTTACCGAGGAAGAGAATTCTAGTCAGTGTTTGAAAATTTTAACGCAGATCACAATTGAAGACGAGAATGAACTGGTAGAAAGAGAGGTTTTCCCAAAAAACAATTAACGAGCGAATCCTTCGACAATGACAACAGACTTACCTTGAAAAGCTTCTTTGCATTTTGCAGTGTTTTTTCCCAAGGACAAACGGAGGAAAGATGGAAACGACTTCTAGACAGACACATTGTCCGGTTTCAAAAATACTCCAGCGTTACATTTAATAGCTAAAACTAACAGTGCTTTTAGTTTTGACCGAATAAACTTTTTCAACACGGCGAATTTGTTTTTACTTTATCGGAAAGCCTTTGTTATGTGTTATTGTTTTCGTGCGCCAATAAAAACTTTCTTTTTTGACGCCTGCCAAATGACTGTCAAATCGTGCGTCCTGGACTTGTTTCCGGTCCCCCAAACAGGAAGAAGCCATATAATAAACATCTTAATATATAGATTTAGCCAGGGCTAAAAGCGAAGCTCCTACTAACTCGAATTTATAATTTAAATCAAACAGTTGTAAACTTGTATTCCACAAATCAGTTAACTTTAGAGCACATTCATGTGACTTTTGACGGAAAGGCTAAGTAATTTTAGAAGAAAATAATTTGCAAACAGTCCAAGCTAAGAGAGAAATTAATCTTACATCGACTTGATAGCCTTATATGTACACCTAAAAAATAGCATAGCTATAATGGTTCTTGATCACAGTACATTAGGAAAACAAAGCAGGCCGAATTTTTTGCGTTCGATAAGTTTACTTTACAAAATCTTGCCAACAAGTCTGGGGACGTGTAAACCAACCTTTTATACTTTTTATACATCACATCTGAGGTGAAATAGTACCATGAGGCGCTGTTTTTATCATACAGACCTCGGACAGAATGCAGTATTTCACAATTTTGCAATACAAATTGCACTCATTCAATATTCAGGACGATCGAAGCACGCGTTAGCGAAACCGTTAAAACATTTCCAAAATCGCCTATACGGCGAGCCAGTTCTCACTTTTGACAAGCGCCAAAGTCGACTGTTTACATTAAGATTAACACAGTTATACGCTTCAACATAATGGCTTTATAACGATGTGTTATCTTCAAACGCGTTTGATACGCGCGGCATTTTGACTACTCCTGCAAGCTATGTTCATGAAGCTTCATGAGCGACTGAAAACAAACGGCACAACAGCGATGAAAATTGCAAAAGAGACTACTAACAATCGATAATAGGAAAATAATTCGGTGAAACATATACAGAGACACCAATTTTCATTCACGAAGACAAGTATTAAAGTGTCTCTGAAAATCCTTGTTTATGTTTTAAGCCGGTTTCCCGGTGTTTGCGTTTTTCAAAGATGAACTCGAGGCAAGAAAATCGCTCAAAGCTTTCTTTTACAGCCAGAATTACAACTAAATATTCTTTGGAACGTTTTCTTTCTATTTGCGGTGAGAAAATGTCTGAAGGCTTTTTAAAGTTCTATAAGCTTATAATCAAACCTGATACTCGGTCAGATCATTGTCTCAAATCGTGCATAAACTAAATAGCCCCATAAACTACACTCGAGTTCATTGAATTAGACATAAAAAACAAACATTAAATAAAATGATTACTCGGGCTTACCATTCGAGGTGCACGGAAAACTTTCAAGTAAGGCCAAAATCGCTTCAGACTTTTCAACCCTCTTACGCATCAAGCAAGGTGAAAAACGAAAACGATGCCATCCGAAATCGGATTTCCGACTCTGACAAGCGACGTATTTCTCAACCAAAAACCCGATAAACAAACTAGCCATGAATAACAGAAGACTCTTGCTAGCGGCTGAATTTCATTTTGTACAATGTTCAGTGGAAAAAGACAATTAAAAACATCACAAGTTGACACAAAACTCTGTCAGCTTCAGCTGTCAAAGTAAACAAGTTTCAAGATGCTGCGTAAATTTTCCGCATGAACTCACCTGTCAAATGTTGACCAATCAGAGCATAAAAATTGGACGTAGAGCGTGACCAACGCGTGACCTTGGCGAGAAAAGTCAAATGCAACTGGCATGTCTTCCCTGCCTGTAAAAACTGGCTGAATCTTAGCTTCCGAGGTCAGTTTGAAATCAAAATTTTAATTGTGCGGCACATATAAAACACAACATATTTCATATGAATTGAAAAAAATTAAACTTGAGCCTGCAATCATTTGAAAACTAGTAACTTGTCAGCGGATAACTTCAAAAAATACTCGACCTCGATGGGTCGACACCTGAGCCCGCGATACGGTCAGGTGATACTGGTCAGCGGGACCCTGTTTTGACAGCTGTCAATTGATCACAACATTGATGTGCAATATGTGTGCAATATCAGTCTTCCTGTTCTCCCAAACTAGCTAGAAAGTGTGGGATTGAACATTGGTTTCCCTGTGGTGCGGACGGACGGGCAGCGGGCGGGCGTTGTACGGTCACGTGATTACCAAATGTTCTGGGATGGGTAGATTTACTTACCCATGGTGCTCCGCAGGCGCGCTTCGCGCGCCAGAGCTCCGCTATTAGCCTCGTTTTTTTCGGTCCGTACTGTAAATTACGGATCCTCGTTTTTTTCCATCGATTTATGGTCCGCGCGCTTCGCGCTTGGGCCATAAATCGATGGAAAAATAACTCGGTCCGTAATTTACAGTACGGACCGAAAACTCGGCTAATAAGAGGTATATATTCCGACCAAATGATCACTGAAGCCCGAACCCAAACATAGTGCTCTTGGCTGCCCGTGGATGTACTTATACACAAGGCGTACAGAATATATCATTTTTACCGAATTACTTACAAAGATAACCTACCTTGGATCCAAAGACCCATCAAAGAACAAAGTAAAAGGAATTTAAGGAGGCAAAGTTTGAGATCTTTTCGTACGTAGTCATTCTCCATGTCTTTAACCTGTTTTTCCATTTGCGTGCGAAGCCCTTTGATGCCAGTAGAACTTCCTCAATATTTTAATTGAGGAGAGGGGAGTAGTATGTAATACGTGCAAGTAAAGCAGTAAGTGACATTAATTACAAATAAAATATGAGACTGATATAATAACAAATGACATGCACTATTTGCCTTCTACTTCTATTAGTAGCTGAAGCTGTATTTTTCACCGAAATTTATACACAAGGAAAGAAAAGGAACTCATTGTTCAGAATTTGCGCCTATCGCAATGTTCAAATGACAATAAATGAGGGCTTGCGAGTCAATATCTTATGCATTATCAACTGGCTCTATGACTTTTGTTTAACAATCCCCCACACTCATTTGGCAGTTGTCAAAATTAGTTTTTCATTTACCCACGGCTGGAACGGACAGCTGCCTAAGAGCGGATGTCCGTAAATACCGACCAGAGGTGGAAAAAATGAATTTTTGGAAAAATCCCAAAAAAATTCTGTAGACTACCCAAGGTATTTTAGTAATGAAAATATAAATTTTAGTTTCATTGGATAAATATTTTGGCGATACGGCGAATGTCAAGTTCGGAAGATTCACGGCCTCCGCCACATCGCTTTTTCGGGCCTCTAGACCGGGCTACGAGAAGACCGTGAATTCAATCGAATTCAAATATCATCCAACCCAAAAAGGTTCTTATCGTATTAAAAGGGTTTTAATACAAATATTGAGTGGTCATGTTCTTGAATTGATTTTAACTGAAATATTTTATGGATTTTTAAATATTTACAAAATGTTAAGGATTTTACGCGAGCAAAATATTGTCAAATTTCAAGGGCCTAAAATTACATCCGATACATGATTTCAAACAGAAAAAGACATTCCAAATTAAAAAGTAATCTCTAAGCTTTCAAAATGTGCTTTCAAAACTCTGGGCAACATATGAAATGAATTTTTGGGAACGCAAAATTCACGGCGCACTTGAGTGTAATTTGACCTTTCTGACTTGACAGTTAAGAGGTTCGGAGCGACATTAATCAATTCTCCAACAAATGCTTCAGGCAAAATACGTTTAATTTAGGCAATCTCAAGTCCCACAGTGATACATAGATGCTTCATATACATTAGGTGGAAAGTTTCATGCCATTTTGTCAGGGAACGTATTTCGAAGATGTTGGAAGTAGGTGCAGTATTTGGACTTGCCTCGCTAATGTAAACATGTGGGTCAAGTTCTTATCACGAAACAGCGAAGTTTTCAAAATCTAAGCTAATATCTATTCTGTCTAGTATATATTCAGGTGTACAATTTGTTTGTTTGTACCT